ATAAGCCATTTTAAAGTAGTCTGTTCTTTTTAACTCACGATCATGTTCATCTTTATACAATGGTTCCAAATATTTGTTTCTATTTATTATTTTTTGAATTGACTTAACTGTTAAACCATTCAATGACACTGGTTTTCCGCCAAGTGTGAAATGCACAAGATCCGTCTGTAGGCTCGGTTCAAAGACAGAAGTTAAGTCTCGCTTCAATAAGCGTTTCCACTCTTTCGGTACAGCTGATATAATAGCATAATAATCAATAAAATTGATTCGTACGTTGTATTTTGCCTTAAAATCATTATACTGTAAAAAATGTCCCTGGTCGTTTAGGAGGTCATTTACATAAATGACCCCATTATCCATAAGATGCTTATTTATTACCTCTTTGTTATTAATTAGGACCAGTCTATTATTCCAGAGTATTTCACTTTTAACTTCAGAACTAGTTCTTGGAGCTGGCATATTCCTTATATCAGAGTAAATTTGTAAAATATTTGAATAAAATTCTGGCACGTCGTGGGCTATTGTTTTAATATCAAAATTACATTGCATAAAGAACTTAATTCCCCCAAGTGGTTTAAAATACAATTCTGGAATATATTTCCAATGACTTTGCCGAGGTTCAATTAGTCTTTTTAGCCACATCAGTTTAAGTGCCTTTTCCATAGAAAACAACCATTCTTAGACCACCCTCATCGTAATCACCAATTAAAGTTCGTCTCTTAACCTTTTCTTGTTTTCCACCCCATAGAAATGAGTAAATTAGCTGTTGTGCCTTTGTTAATATATCATTTGGGGTATTTGTCATTGACATGGAATATACCAGTTTAGAAATACCAAGCGTTTTAATTATCAGAACTCGACCGTATAAAGTTAAATTTCTTCTTGACCACATTTTCAATACTTTCTGAAGCGAGTCTAATTTCTTCTCAAAGTTAAGAAAATCATTTGATTTCTTATTATACGAAACACAAATTCCCAAAAATTTACTTGGATCTTTAACCCATTTTAAACCGTATAGCTTGTCCTCGGTTTTAGATCTTTCTGAGCCAATATACATACATTCTGTCTTTTCTTTATTAATACATAATCCAGAAATCTCTTTAAATTCATCAAAAATGTTTAAAGCCCGTTTGAGAGATGCTTTGCTATCTACTGTCAGTGTTGTGTCGTCAGCAAATAACTCGATATTTTGCTCATTATTTCCCAAGCGGATCCCTTTAATACCCTGATCTTGTCTGATTCTCATTGCCAGGACTTCTATTACTAAGATAAATGTCAAGCAACTCAAGGGGTCCCCCTGCCTACATGATCTTTTAATATCGAACCAGCCAGTAGATTTGTTATTATTCAAGACACAACTTTTTATATCTGTATAGAATAATTTTACCCATTTAATAAGTGTGTCCCCGAAATTAAAAAGTCTTAACACCTGTTCTATATAATCGAATTCAACACTATCGTAGGCTTTAAAAAAATCGACCATGCAAATAATGCCTGAAATGCACTTTTTCTTAGAATATTCAAGAATATCCTCTAGGTACCGTATGTTTTCACCAATAAAACGATCTTTGATAAAGGCTGTCTGGTCGGGCCCTATAAGTTTCGCCAAAATAGCACTGATACGGAGCGCAATTGATTTAGATGCAATCTTATAGTCAATGTTGAGTAACGTGATTGGGCGCCAGTTTTTCAAAAACCGATGATCTTTGTCCCCCTTTGGTACTAGCGATATGATACCCTGTCTTTGACTTACTGAAAGGATGCCCTTTTCAAATGACAAGTTTAGAGACTTAATAAGCATTTCATTGATTTCATTCCAAAAACACTTATACCATTCAGTACTCAACCCGTCACTTCCCGGAGTTTTTCTATTTTTAAATTTTGTCAAGGCCTTATAACATTCATCGACCCTCAGTAAGCCCTCACACGAATCCTTTTCATGTTCATTTAACTTATTTATGTTAAGATCTTTCTCAAAACTAACGAACTTTCGTGTGTCAGCTTTTGCCTTGGAGTCATAAAGATCTACAAAGAATGCTTTAATTTGGTTAAGTATTTCTGTCTCATCTGTCACCACATTACCATCAACATTTAGTTCAGTTATAGTTTTCTTTGAATAGTTTGATTTCTCTAAGTTGAAGAAGTAGTGTGTGCTTTTTCCCCCCTTTTCTGCCCAGTCAGATCTTGATCTCTCGATGGCCCCCTCTGCTTTATATTGATATATATCATTTAGTTTACATTTTGCATCATCATATTCTCTACACGCCTTTTCATTCAAATAACCATCCTTAACTAGTTCAGAGTCCAGACTTTCAATGATTTTCAACAACTTTATTTCCTCTCCCCGTAGTTCCTTTGCCCTTTGTTTTGAAAATTCAATAGTTTTTACTTTAATCTGATATTTCAAATATTCCCAAAGTTGAATATCATCAGCGTTATTTAAAGTTGTTTTAGTTTTAGTGATAAGTTCCTTAATTAACTTTTGAAATGCTTCATTTTCTATTAATCTGTTATTAATTTTCCAAAAACCCGGCCCTCCTTTGTGAGTGACAGATGAGTTAATGCTTAACACAATACATTTATGATCAGACTTAATTGATGGCACTATTTTGCTTTCTGCTTCTTTAACCATATGTCTTTTAATAAGCCACATGTCTATTCGACTTTTACTGACAGAGTTTTGCATATTATCTTTAGCGTAAGATTCGTATGTATACTGGATTTTTGTGGGGTTTTGGTGTCTCCAAACGTCAATTAAATCAAAACGATTCATACACTCAATCAGAGAAGCTCTAGATAGGTCCTTTTGTTGACTTACTATAGCCGTAGAATATCTATCTACCTCTCTATTTAACACTACATTAAAATCACCTCCAATTATGACATTATCAGATGCAAAATTCGTGGACACAATCACTGATAGTTCGTCAAATAATTCTTTCCTAGCATTATCTAGGTTTGGAGCATATACATTAATCAGTGTATATTGCAGTCCACCAATTTCAATCTGAACTACAATAAATCTACCATCTACGTCGGTTGTGTTTTTTACAACCTTACAATCAAAATTATCGTTAAACAATACAGCTACACCTCGTTCACCTCTTTTTCTACCATGTGATAAGATAATATTTTTACCCCATTCATTCTTCCACTCATCCAAATCATTCTCACACGAGTGTGTTTCCTGGAGAAAATAAATATCTTTCTTCAGTCTCTTAAGATACAAAAAGACACTCCGCCGTTTGATGGCTTGGCGTATACCCTTTGTATTCAGGCTACATAGTGTAATATTGACAGGCTTATGAGCAGAAAATTACACAAGTTAAAAAACATGGACATCAAATACAAATCTACATAATTAAAAGTCTCATTTCTGGCATAATATACAAACGAGTTTCCCTCACATGCATCCATTATTCCAGCCACACTCACAATCATACATAAACATACATTCATAACTTTCCATTTAAAGTGTGCGCCAAAGTTTAAAACTGCGCAGGCGCACCGCTCTCGCTAAACTATATAAAGAGATTACCACGGTTCACGATTCAGAGGTAAGCCAGGAAGGCGAACGATCTTCGTCTCGTGATGATTTCCCATATAATCGTAACCAGGGAAGTTTCACCATTGAAATTGAAAATTACTATTAGATATATATTGTAGATGTTATTTATGAAGCTATTTAGTGTTTGCATCAATCAAATGGCTCATTTTGAACATATAAAAAGTATTTGTGTTTTGTTTCCCAGGGAATTGTATTGTACGTAGTACACACATAAATAGTGTACATTATACAGTACTTGAATAGCCTGGTTTACATAATATTGAAGGGCATGCTGATTACATGCACACGAGTACATGAATGAAGGCCTAATATTGATATACGTAGCTTGCATACCTAAATAAAAAATAAACTCTTCTAATCCCCTAATGTAAACACGGCGGTATACGTAGCCCGATTTATCGGGGACTTTAAAAGTTTTCATGTACACAGATTATAGAGCCTTTATGTGCCGTACAAGTAAAGTGAAATAAACGAAAAACGCACCACACAAAAACACAACGATTATTTTTAGCTTTTATACAGCCCAGTCGCAGTACCAATGATTGGCTTCTATATGTGCGTTCTCGGCATTCCATGTTTGGCCCGTGTTATATGTGTAAACACCCGAGGATTACAGTCTACTGCACAGTACAAGTTACCTTTCAAAATGCCACCCAGTATACCTTGTGTACGTGTAACGTATATAGATTTTCTGTACTGGATAAAGCATAAGAATGAGATTTTATAAGAAATAATACACCGAAGGCCGAAGGCCTGAGGTTATTATTTCTTATCAAATCGAATTTGAATGCTTTATCTTACTTAAATCACACACATTCCTATTACAGGTAAATGGTATATTGCAGGTAAATGGTCAATGATCTAATCTGGAAAATTTTATTTCTTTTGTGTTGACTGTTCATGTAGGGGTAAGTGGTTTGATACATGTAAGTGAGTGAGTTCTTTTGAGGTGACTGTTCATGTAGTTATATAGCCAATTAATTGTAACAACAAAAAGAGTTGGTTGCATTGACCTCATGAGTGTGAGTTGATGTAAGTGACTGAGTGGGCTATAATTAGTCTAGCTTCAGTGCACTACAGGTGACTGTCCAGTCCAGAACATTGCATTTGAATAAAACTTTGGCAATCAATTGCATGTCTGTTATCGTTTACTAAAGGAATAAATTTATGTATAATAAAAAGAAATATAGGTCAACAAGATACTAGTGTGCATATAAATGTAGTAATTGAAGCAGAATACTCATTTTGAAAAATCAGATGAATTATATTTTTCCCATGGGGAGATCCCAATGGAGTGTGTATAAGGTCCTTTGGACCCCTTCTTGTTAGTTTCTGGATCAGCCTATGAATACTGAAAAATAGAACCCCTGGTCACCAAATTCTGGCTACGCCAGTGTTAGGGTATTGTTAAATGTAAAAGAAATGTACTCACCAAACAACATTTCAAACTGATATTTCATTTTCGACATCCAGAAGGGATCCTCTTGAAAACTTGTTGTCGCCATGCTGAAAAATACGTGTGTCACCTGCGTTGAGAAAAAGCTAAGTGAATTGGCCCAAATACAAATGTAATGTAAGCGTGTACGCTTTATCGGGTATTTAGGCAGGACACCAATGCTGAGGTAATTCACCCAATGATGATGATGATGATGATGTGAGACTCGACATTCACCAGGAAACTTGAAATAATTTGTCACCCATGGAGCAAATTAATTTTTTACTGCTTAGAAAATGGTGAATGACAGCCAAATTGCATTATTGTGTTCTGGGTGTCTCCATGGCTCTGATACAGGTAAAGTTATGGGGGTCTTAAACTGGTGCACACTACCCCAAAGGAGTAGACAACACATTCTTAACTTCATGTACAAAGTAATCAGAAACCAGGTACCCTCCTATGTATCTTCAATATTTGAAGAATTCAAAAATCCAGCTACCAGAAGAACAAGCAATACAGAAGTATACCAAATTTCTATAAGGTCAACTGCCCAATTTATTAAATCCCCTATTCCTAATGCAATATCACTGTGGAACAAATTACCTAAACCTCTTTTAGAATATGCCTTAAAATTTTCCCTACCATCGTTCAAAAAAGAAAGTAATAAACACTTTCTGCCCAAGAGAATAATCAGTTCAACGTCCCTGATTAATTTAACAAGGTCTCAAGAAATCACTCTCAACAGAGCTCGTGTAGACTTATTTTTGAAAGCAAGACTTTTTGCACACCAATTTACATTTATAGACCCGGCTCATTGTTCTTGCGGCAAACCTGAAACACTAAAACATTTATTTTTCAAGTGTCCTCTATGCCAAATTAATAGGCATGCCCTGATGGAAGAGGTCAACAATAACTTCTATAATAAGATCAGCCAACTAACAAACATGGATGATAAACTTAATTTTCTCTTATATGGTGACGAGACATTATCCTGGGCAGAACTAAGTAAACTTCTTATCATCGTCAGCAATTTTCTCCATGACAACAAGACATAGCAAAGATGTCTCATCTAAGCCCTGGAGAACTCATAATATATTTATTTTGTTTTTTACACATCTACTTGGCACAAACCCCTCTGGTCCCTGGGATACCCTTCGATGCATAGTCGTCCTCAAACAGCTAAATACTATACTTAATTTTTTACATGTAAGTGATGGCAAACCTATAATGCCAATATGGCGATTGGTGGCCGAAAATGTATTGACTTTACCTCAATAAAGTTTATACTATAAAAAAATAAAAAAATAAAGTTTTATAAGTATGAGAATAGCAAGACGTCTTGATATTTCAAGGTAATGTAGTTTGAAAAGTGATGGTGGTGATTGGAAAAACGATGTTAAGATAAAACGGCAACGAAATATTTGAAGATTTATTTGAAGAACTACATCACATATCCAATTTTCCGAAACGCAAAAAACATGTATGAATTGTAAGGCCTGCAGGTCCGATTCCCCCTAGAGCATTAACATTGGTCTCGTATATGTCACACAATTAATATTTGAAACGCAACTGTTATTCGAATTTATGATCGGACATTAGTATGATACTAGTACTACTTTATGACCTTGAAGTACACATCATACTTATGGCCGATCATAAGTTCGAATAATAGTTGTGTTTCAAGTATTAAGTGTATGACATACACGAGACCATTGTTAATACTATCAGGGGGAATCGGATCTGCAGGCTTTACTATTTATACATGTTTTTCTGTGTTAAAAAATTCGACATGTGATGTATATTTCTTCGTTTTTCAAAGAAATTTACAAATATTTCGTTGCGGTTTTATCTTTACATCGTAGTTCCAATAACCGCCATCACTATTCAAACGAGTTACCTTGAAATATCAAGACGTAGTACTATTCTTATAGTTATAGAACTCAATATGACTGCCATTCAACATTTATAAAGCAGTAAAAAATAATTGGCTTCATGGGTGGGTGAATATATGTTTCTGGTTATTGCAATGAATTTTTCCACAAATATTTTGGGGGGGAAATCAAGACCGGGGGTTCCTATGATGCGAGACCCCTATTCGTATGATGAAGTAAACCCCTGTGTACGTTACGTTTAATATATTTTTATTTCATAACACAGTTTACAATCATATAATACAGTTGGAGCCCGATGGGAAAAGTATTTTAATTAACATTGGTTGTTTATTCGTTCATTTGGATTTGGCTCAGTAATTGTTAAAGATGCGAAGTTTTTTAAATTGAAAATGAACCAGCTTGTAAGACGTCAAGCTTGCAATGTTTTTCACAACCTTAACGTGAACGGAAAATATTTATATATAATATAAGCGATGTGTTTGTATGGGCGATTTGTCATACGTATAGGTTGGAGTTTCGATTTTATATGCAACCTTAAACTCCTGACTTTTGATGGACTCGATTGTTGAAAACAATTCACCGTCAATATTAGATCGGTGCCTTTTATAAAACGTAAATGTTGTAGTGTATAATCAATGTTATTTACAAACATTGGCCTTGATTTACACAATAATCCGAGGTAGCTCAGTTTCAATATTCAAATTACCCTTGCCGAGTATGACCCTACTTCTGTATATATATTTTCGTGTGGGAATACATCCTAGGAAATATATACAGATATCCAACCTTACATCATTCAATATCTGTAATATTTCAGTGACCGATGTATTCAACGATGCCCATGTGGCATCGTTGAACAGGCATCCAACTCCTGAGTTCCAACTCCACATCATGTAAAGGGGCAACAAGGACTGTAGAAAGAAAATTCAAAAGGATGACGGAAGTTAGTGCAACAGAACTTTGACAGTTGATAATTTTTTGGCGAGTAGTTTCTGGCTGTAAAAAATAAATGCATATGAAAGACCAATGTATCATCTTTAAGAAAAGTTCAAAGAATGGTTCCAAGATCAAATGGATTAACTCATAACTCATAATTCGTGTTTAATCCATACTGTGGGAGCAAAAGTCCAAATAAGAGGTTCTGTATCCTTTTTAGAGGCGAGCTAAGTGACATATGTTTTCATGAACTAGAAGTGATACTGATCAAGAAAAATGATGTTGGTAATTCTGATTCCGCGACGGCGTTGCTATGGTAACCAAGTAAATATGCCACGCCCACCTTTAGATCCTCTTTTCAGTGTTTAGTGTTTCCGCCATTATTGCTCAGATTTTAAGGAAATTTACACCAAATGGAATGTAATACATAATGCAATCAGGTGATATTAAGTTTGAATCCGTAACGGCGTTTTTTGTTTTTTTTATTTAGTGTTTAAGTCAGTGGCTCGGTCAACTTGACATTATGAGCCATTTTTACAGAAATATAGGAGTTGACGTACATCGGTGTTACATAGTTGAAGGTATACAGCCAAGTGAGGCTCGCACGACTAGTAGCATGTTGGTGGTGCTCTAAAGAATGACTCAGCGGTTAGAAAATGCTATGTCTAGATATTCAGCAAATGATTTGATGATACATGAATTTTCATTTTTATTACAGAGATGATGACCAAATAGTAAAGTGTTAGCCTTATTGGCTCGAGTTAGAGAGTTAAACTTTATCATTGGATTTTCACGTGTTATTTTATCGTTAAGCAACTTGAAATCATCTACATGGAGGGGGCATCTGAAAAGAAAATGGTTGAGTGTTTCTGATTCTAGTTCGCAAGCGCACATTGGTGAATTAACATTGTTAAAATTATGTGAGTGTAGTTGCGACGTTGCTATGGTAACAAAGTATATATCCCACATCCACTTTTAGGGGCTCTTTTCAGTGTTTGGTCCCTATCTTCGTCAATATTGCTCTTGAGAATTTTACACCACTAATTTTCAAAATCATGTCCATAAAACTTAAGATGCTACAAATTGTCCCCTTATATGTGGAATGACCGTTTATTGTTACGTATTCTCTAAATTATCGTTATGTACTGTTAAGCCCTCTTATAGGGGGGGTCTTATGCTTAAGGAAATAGTATAATATTTGATAATAGATTTAATGTTTTATTTATACATAATTGTTGTGTCCAATTCTAGCTAACCAGAACAATATTTCATATAACGGCACTGCATTATATAAGCAACATTAGCATCCAAGGGAACTTTTCTTTTTTGTTTTCGATACTAGGAAAACCAATGAAACCGATCGATAAACTGAAATCAAGGAATATATTAGCGCAAATGCCAAAGGGAATGGTGACAAAAAAACTTTGAAGAAACCCAACAAGAAAAGCAAACTGCAAGTGTAAATCTGTCATAAGATTAGTAGACCCTATATATCCCAAAACCATGATCTAACGTAAAAATCGAGAACCAATATCACAATCCAGGACCAGAACACCAAGGGACATTTCATTCATACTGAAGTCATTACAATACATGTTGAAGAAAAATTGAAAAAAATTGATAGCCGATACTCATAACATCAAAAATAGTTTTAAGATACTAGTACTCATAAAAGATAGAGTTTTCAGTCTCAAATGATATGGTGATCAGGATAAAACTATGGCTGGTTTCGATCCCTATTTCTCAACCATTAATGCCATAACCGGGATCCATCTCAAAGGGTGCCAAGTGAAAAAATTGTGAGTTCATTGCCAATTTAAATTTATTACATCCTTCAGCGTCTCAAGTGGTAAAACTTGAAATTTCAAAATAATGACTTGTGCTTTTCAACAAAGCCCGGAAAGGATTTCTTAAGTTTTTACAGGTATAACCTTGACCTAGCAGCTTGATCACTAAAATATGGTGTCTCGACTTGAAATCTAGATATTTTGAACACGCCCTACTATATCTAATAAGCTGGGATACATAAACCCCATATGCTGGGTTTAGTGGAATATTGCTATCCAAATGTGGAAAATTAACAATGTCAAAATTAAAGTCATCTCTTTTGTCGTATAATTTACAATATATACTGTTGTCTCGTTCAATGTTAATACGAAGATCAAGATAAGGTGCACTCATACCAGATTCATTAGTCTTTTTCAATTCTAGCTCAGTAGGATATATCTCACCTACAAAGTCTTTAAATTTGGGTTTTCTAAACTTAACAAGTCATCAATATATCGATTTGTCTTATTAAATAACTTTGCAGTATGAAATTTACTTTTTACTCTTTCATCATCTTTTGTAAAAAATTATACTCATACGAGAATAGAAAAAAGTCTGCTAAAAGAGGAGCAAAAAAATTGCAAAAAATTGCACTTCGATATAAGAAATGATTACTAACCTACACAAAGTTGTAACTGTATCCCGCTCTCTTAAATTCTGGTCCGTGTGTGTCTGTCAAAATAGCTGACTAAAATCTTTGTTTGAAACTTAGGCACTGAATTCATTCCAGTCATGCTGCTGTATATGTTCGAATTGTTATTGATTATTTATATGGTGGTACCTGCATTCATACATTTGCATCTAATACATCATTATTTCTTATGTGCTTGATATCCTAATTCAGTGGTACATGGAACTGTATTTGACATTCATAACAGAATATAATAAATAATAGAAGGAATGATACGTTTCATTGGATTACATTGATGCACGAATGCATACAGGGGGCGTCATTAAAATATTTCAAATGCTGTATGGAAATGCTTGCCAAAAACTGCAAAATAACTTATGTGCATGGTATGGGTCACTGCAACAATGAATATAAATAAAAAATTAGCACAAGATTATTGCTGCCATTTTGAATGTTCACTAGACTAGTGCTTATACTTAGTGTATTTATCGATAGATTCGACTTTGAATGGAGCTTTATGTTTAGTTCGAAAATGGAATCATCAGAAAGGTTTTAAACCATGAAACCTCTAGCCTGAAGAGATTTTTTTTAACCATTTTGTCGGCTTTATGTTACAATATGCTTTGAATGGAAGATACAATTTTGGATCCTTCCATCCCCGCGAAAACAATACAAGACCCCACCAGGGTTGCCTGTCCACCTACCTGCAAATTACGGAGTGCCGACTGCCAATATATTGCAAAAATTGTTTGTTTTCACATCACCTGCGTCTCATTGCACTTCAATTTCCTCACTTGAGAATGAATGCAAGCTATACTAGTAAATCTCATTCAAGATACATCACTTTTCAATACAATTCAATTCACTTTATTTCAAATGTTTCAGATGTTACAGTATTTCACATTGACATGAAAAGACACCCCTTTGGGTGTATAAGTTCCATATGTAACATACATTTGTGATCAGAAAATGGTGCCAGGAAATATTATAATTTTCAAATTGATGGAGACAATGGTATGGGACTTACAATCAGGAATACAATTGCAGAACTTGACCTCTCAGATACAATGATCATAATATCACGATGGGACAATGGTATGGGACGTACAATCAGGAATACAATTGCAGAACTTGACCTCTCAGATACAATGATCATAATATCACGATGGGACAATGGTATGGGACGTACAATCAGGAATATAATTGCAGAACTTGACCTCTCAGATACAATGATCATAATATCACGATGGGACAATGGTCGATACGACAAATATACAAATCCCTCCGAAATAGATAAAAATTAAGATAAACCTTTTATTTCATTAACAAGATACTTTTTTAAAATCAACTTAACTTTCCTTTGTAATATAACAATATTGAGAGACCTAAGTTGTGTTTATATCGTTTTGTTCCAATAAGGTTCGGATAAATGTTACATTTCATAAAGAAAATATGATACCAAGAACAAAACAAGTGTCAGATGTGTTTCCTAAAACAATATAGAGAAAAGCTTAAGAGAAACAGGTGTTCAAAAAGTACACCATTCCTTTTGCCAGGGTGCTACAAATATAAGTAAGGACAGTGAATACAATTTAGCCATATTTACACACCCCATTCTCAATTCCTTATACCGACGAGAATTTATTTCACGTGATACACTTTCTAAATAAAATTGATTTCTCTAAATTGTTCCATGTATTTTGGAAACTGGAGCACTTTTGTGCACAAAGGTTCACTCTCTTGAAATCAAGGGGAGAACATATTTATTTGAAACCCTGTAGAAGCTTTGAGAAGTTTTAGATATTACTCACGACAGATAAAATGTTGAGACGTAATGATACTAAAGGCATCTCTGTGTAGCAAGTTCATATTCTGTCGAAACGTCGAAATAAATGAGGACTATTACAAACTTGGCTCCAAAATCACACCATGGTGTGTAGAGTTCTGGTTGTACGATGTGATGAGAATGGGTTGTGAATTATGATAATTTTACTTGCCTCATCGTTTTTGTCTACATCTGCACCAGAACTAGGTTTGGTCCATAAATTGTTTTTCATTGGCTCTTTTCCACTCTTGATTTTCTAGGCCAACCCGTTATTAGAATAGTTCCATTTTGAAATATATTTAAGAAATCTCTATAGTCCCCTTTTAAAGTATACTTAATAAGTAATTAGTATAGTACCATTTTGAAATGTATTTAATAATCAGTAAAGTCCCATTTTAAACTTTACTTTGGAAATTCGTATAGATCACTTTTGCAACATATTCAAGTTATTATCTCCTTTTAAATTATTAGTATCGTTCCATTTTGATATACTAGTATAAGAAATAATTAGAAATAAGATACACTTGAGAAGTTAGTATAGTTCTTTTTAGCGGTTTACCCTTTTTAGCTGCATATATTTGTGTTCCATATATGCAGTTATTGTCTGCGTTCTGTCAGTGATCATCATTGCTTATAACATGCAATTCGAAACAAATAAATACTAGAATTGCTCGTTAATTGTAAGCAATATTCTTCATTTTATACAGTGTATAGTCAGAAATTAGTATATATAGTTCATTTTTAAATATATCTAAGGAATCACTATAGTCTATTTTTAAAGTACACTTGAGAAATTAGCATAGTCCCATTTTGAAATACATCTTAGTATTCAAAAGTGAACTAGTATATATTTCTCTTAAAATATATTCAGGTAATTAGTATAGTCTCTTTTTAGAGTACATTTGAGAAAGTAGTACAATCCCATTTTGAAATATATTTAAGTATTCAAAAGTGAACTAGTATGGACTTCTCTTAAAATATATTGAGGTATTAGTATTTGTTCTTTTAGAGTACATTTGAGAAATTAGTATAGTGCCCTTTTAAGTATATTTTGAACAGTGAACAGTCATATTTTTAATATAAATCTCCCTTATCTGAACACTTTTCATAAAAAATACATATTTTATCCAAAATTGCTCATTGACAAATATTTGTTAAAATATTGAACACTGATTTGCCATGTTATAAAAAACTTTCGAAAAAACTGTTCAGAATGGGGCTTTCCATTATGACTAAATTCATTTGTCAAATGAGAGTGTGTTTACATATCTTCAAAATCCAGAATCTCATGAATGCAAAAAAACTAAAAATGTGAATACCTCCTAATCCGAACGCTTAGCTGGTCCAAATGGCATTTGGATTAGACAGGTTTCAATGTACATTCTGTATTCATGTTAATAGAATACCTACTTCAAATTATTATGAAATACAAGTGTAAAATAGTGATGTTCGGGGTAACTTGTATATGAGAACTTGGAATAATACTTGGAACATAAAGTCAAAGTCCTGCTTTTCAATAGCCCCATTACGATCAGTATCTAAAAATCAACAATCGAATGTTTTCATAGTCACTCTTTTATTCAAGGTGTGTCAAAATAAGACCAATATTTTGTAACCAGCGAAACAATATCATATTTGCGGCAAATTTTTGCCTAACCATCGAATATAGCTTTAACTTTGAGATTATTATGGAATGGAAGGAACATCCTAAGATATACATGTACATAGTTGGTTTTCATCCACTCATGTGCTAGATATCTACATGAGAGAGTGCTGATCAAATATCATAGAATAAACTGTAAATAACTTTAAAAAAGTGTAATTACCAAACCACATGTAAAACAAATGCCTCATTTTGGCCATCCAAAAGGAATTATCTTTAATCATACCGAAAAGAATATAGCATAATGGGCTTGTACGTGTCAAAAGATTAATACCTACATGTATTTAATTGTCTGGAGTTAAAGTTGTCTCTGGGTTAAATGGTCCGGATATGGGGATGAATATTCAATTTGTAATGTTAGTTCAAGACATTTCGAAATTAAACAAAAACGTTGTCTGATTTCGTTACAAAGAATTTAGGATTGTATACAATTAAGCCATACTTACACAGACATGTAATTTTATGTTATTTATTGATTTATTTTGATTATTGATTATTTTTGAGTAAATACAATAATTTGACAGGTTTCTGTGGCTAAGCAATAGCAATATCAGCCACGTCCATGTTTTTTTTGTATTCAATCAATAAAATGTAATACAAAGAAGTGATTTTGTAATGAATCCGGTTGGATATCAAACAAAGTCTTAACTTTGCAAAACACAATACAGTGTCCCTTATAAGGAAGATCCTTTACACTTTACGGCCGTTGACCATCATTTCTCCTAAGATGTTTCCTGGGTTTTCCATATCTTTAGAAACTGTGAACCCAATCATCATATCTTTGAACTGTTCTAGATCAATTCCTGGTTTCCCATCCTGAAACAAACATTTTGTATAGAGGCGTCTCTTTAACAGTAACATATAAAATATGATAATTGATGTGGTTTAAATCACATTGGCATTTATCTATTTGAATTTATGGGTCAATGTTTGCGTCTGCGCGTTCCCCTATGTAACCATGGCGACCGGAAGTCTCCATTGGATAGCGTGGCAAGACCTGTTGATGTTTCAATCTGAGTTTGTTACTCAGTCACAATAATTCGAACATCTACATCTTTTGGATTCTTTTGGATCGCAAAATGTAAACAGCCTTTGATCAATAACCAAAATAGGGAATTTCGGCTGGAGATTTAAAATGGAGGAGGGGTGCATAGTATTCAATGTGTGTAGTGATCAATCATACACCAGGATTTGACGTTTTGTTAGTTTTTCGAATGCCTCCAATGGCCCCGTTAAATTTTTGGGAATCTTAAATGCTCGTTTTGAAATGCAGAGAGAAATAAAAAGAATGATTGTTCTTTAAAACGTATCGCATGCAAAGCTTCATCCAGAGACATCCTTTAGATCCTTTATATGTGAATTATACAATTTTTTATTGAAATATCAAATTCGAAGAAACTGTAATAAACAGTCCCGATAATCTTATCAAATTAATTAATGATTCGTTCATTTTTATGGACGACCCCATGTAGGTGTTCTGCGTTTGACTGAGGAAGAATACTTACCGAAGTCTTCTTGAATGCGGCCGAAATCTTCTTGAATGCGGCCTCTACTATGTCCAAGGGAAGTTTGTGTGTTTCATTGTAATATGAGGCAAAATCGCTGGCATCTATAAGTTCATCACCTGTATAATAGCAATCATGGTGTGACATAGTTATATACTATAAAAATTGCAGTACCGTCTACTGGCAATTATGGTTGGTATTGCATGCCTCTGGGTACTACGGTTGTTAAATATTATTAAGGTCATAATGCAATGGGTTGGGATTTTTGTGTCAAATGATACTTCTAACACATGTAAGTATCAAAGGAAACTTTTAATGGAAACTTTAAATACATTTAAGAGTCAAAGGAGAATTTAATATGTCAAAGGAAACTTTAAATACTTAGTACATTTAAGTGGCAAATATAACTTTTAATTCATTTAAGTGTCAAGTGAGACTTTAAATACATTAAGTGTCAAATGGGACATTAAATACATTTAAGTTTCAAATGGGACATTGAATACATTTAAGTGTCAAATGAGACTTTAAATACATTTAAGCGTCAAATGAGACTTTAAATACATTTAAGCGTCAAATGCGTCTTTAGATACATTTAAATGTTAAATGAGACTCTAAATAGATGAGACTTTTAATAAATGTAAAAGTATTTAAATACATGTAAATGTCAAATGAGACTTGTAATACATTTAAGTGTCAAATGAGACTTTGAATACCTTTAAATGTCAAATGAGACTTTAAAGACATTTTAGTGTTATATGAGAGACTTTTAGTACATTTGGATGTCAAATGAGAGACTTTTAACAAAGGATATGTATCGGTATGATGAACTGAATTCAACAATGTTTTTCTCTTAAACCAATGATTGAAACATTCTGTAAAAAACACGGTCATTTATGTAATGTTGACTGATTGGCAACAATTTAATGCAAAAATTATTGAATTACTTATATATTTAATATAACTGTTTTTGTTAACATTTCTTATTTCTTGGTGCAGTTGTTTTTTGTTCCTTTCTACCAATTCTTGAGAATGAAATAAAATGTCCTTGTTGGAACAAAATAGCATATACAACATTTTCTTAGACCTCTCAATATTATAGTTATACGAGTACAAAGGAAATTTTGGTTGATTTAACAAAAATTGTGCAAAACCCCCTCCCCAAAATATTTAAAAATTAAGATAAATCTTTTATTTCATTAACAAGATACTTTTTGAAATCAACCAAACTTTCCTTTGTACAATTACAATATTGAGAGACCTAAACACGTTCTGTTAATGTCGTTTTGTTCCAATGAGGTTCGGATAGATGTTTCATTTCATTCCGAACATGATACTAAGCACAAAAGAAGTGTCTGATGTGTATTCTAAAACAATATAGAGAAAAGGATATACATGTATATACGTTTCAAATTATAATGTTTCCATCTAAAAGATGACCGTTAAATTGACAATGTGTAAACTATTCAGAATGTTTTGATGACTGGTTTAAGAAAAACGCGTCTTCAAAAAGTTCACCATATCGATACCACTCCTTTGAGTTTCATTTACATGTATAATACATCTATTCTAAGACTTTTGATAATAAGAAGTACAGCTCTTTGCATTTTAGATAATAAAGGCAAAAAAGTCGCACCATTCTTGTCCATTATGTAAAAGGTCACCGCCATGAATTCTTTGTACCAATAGGGTATATAGTTTCGCTTGTTGTATTGGACGGCAAAATCATCCCAGAAACTGCACCATTCACTCAGACTTAACTAAAAATACGAGAACACAAAGTAATTAATTTTACAACACAAAGCAATGGAATAATTCTACTTACAAACACGCCATACTTTCCGAAAGCTCTCCCAAAAGAGATTCATATAGACATGGCACTTTTGCATGGAGCAACTATAAATATAAGGCTATGTAAAAAATATTTGATATCAGCGTATTTCTTAATAACCGTCAACCAGTATACCTAGGTCACATTTAGTCCGATTCATCGGCTGCGCCCGACCGATTGAGTATTTTGTTCAAAATTGAAGGTCAAATGTTAAATTTGAGGTCAGATGTGACTCCTGAGAACTTGTACATGATTTTAAAAAAGTTTGATAATTTGAAGCAAGGTTAAATCAGTTTTGAACAAAATACTGCAATTATATGTAAGGTGAGAAAATAGATTCCAAAAACCCAAACCTACCATATTTTCATCTTGCTCCATCAGCTTCGGACCTATAGAACGTAGTGATTGAGCGTGGGAACCGACGATGCCATATTTTACGGAAGAGTAATTTTGATAGAAAGCCAGTGAACACTTAACATTTCATTAATCATCTTAGCTTGAATATTTACGTACCGCCTTATCTCTATTGTCATCTGCGTTATGCTGTAATATGGTCCACATATTCTGTTTCATGTTAGTTGCTCGTACATACCATGGACTATCCGCTGCCAGTCCTCTCGTCTCTACCATATTCTGAAACAAATTATATTTGTCTAATTATCATTAATTCATTCTAATTATAGAGTACTGTTTAAATTAATAATCACTGCACATGGATGCATGGATGCATGACAGAGATTTTTATACTGAAGATAAAACCATGGCCTCTATCGGGTGGTAGAGCCCATGATAAAACTAAGCGAGCAATTTTTCTAAACACACTTCAATCACCATTTAATTCATCTAACATCACATAAATGTATTTAATAATCGTGTTTATTGATAGATTCGTGTATTTAAAATCCTAAAAGTTGTAGGTTTATTAAAATTGCTCACGCAGTTTTATCTTGTTGATCGCGAGTAGTAATGCATTTGCAGACACGGGAACAGACCATCAAATTTTATTTTTTTAAATATTTGTTAGTCAATTAAGAAAATATACTCTCTGGCAACTGCATATTATCCTAGGTATGTTATAAATCGTATATGTCACTATCGCGTCACAATATGAATATAAAAAGTACCCCTGCATATGACATCATTAATGAACTTGCTTGGACACCAATTAAGTACATAGTCCTCAAGCGACAAATCCAATATTTTCTCTATTTACAGACTCTTGATCAGGGGTCATTCATAAGATTACTACTAACAAGAATGCAAGAACGATTTGCATACAATGTCGAGCACATAAATGATATCTTTAAACTGATTGACCTTAAAGGCATTGACAATAACTTAAATAATTTGATAGAAAATTATGAACCATCTATTCAGAAGACATGCGACTCTGAGATACAAACTGAAATGAATGGAAAATCTTCCTTGACACTGTATATACAGCTTATTGATCTTAAACATAAAGGTTTACAGTACTATTTAAGAAATGATTTTGATTTTGCAAGTGCACGATTAAAATTTCTTGCTCGGACCGGGAAACTAGGTCTTAAAGGTGAAACATATAAATGGGCAAATGTACAAGTTAATAGCCCATTCTATTATTTTTGCTCTAATAGAGAAGAGAATATAGAACATCGATTACTATTTTGTTCTAATTTTGCGGGGGAAAGATCCAAATTTTATAAAATACTTGAGGATAAAATTCCCATACATTTAACAGGGATATTCTTTAGCGCCCCAACTGACACAAAATTGAAATGGTTACTGGGAGATGAGGCATACATCTTTGGGGGACACGAATATGGTGTTTTATTCGACTCTTTAGTAAAAAGCTTTTTAAGTAAGATTTTAAGTAAATATTAACATACCTATGTTTTAATTCTTTTTAAGACCCATTTTAGTTTTAAAAATGTGCTGTTTTTAACCAACATGTATTGTATTGTATTGTATATTCTTTATTTCCTCCATTAAATGAAGATTACAATTTAACATTTTAACTTAACTCAAAATTAAGGAAAAAATAATAATAATAAAATATACATTATTTACAAATATTCCAGGTATTTACATATTTAAATGTAGTACAGCATGGTTTAGAATATAATCTATTTTCACCGCAGATACTATTAAAAATTGTTGCCAAATGCAATCATTACAATCAAATAACATATCTGTTCTGCTACCTAAAATAATTTCAAGAAATATCTCATCATCAGTATTAAATAACGCCACTGAGTCAACAATACTAATGTATCAACAACAGCATTAAATAGATTATCTCTTTCTTGAAATAGTACTTGACACTGTAATAATATATGTTTTGTGATGTCATTCGTCACACTATTGCAAAGAGGACAGCATCTATCAGTTTCTGAGTTCAGTATTAATAAGGATAAAAGCTGTCCCAATTTCCAAGTGGATATTTTCGATTAGATGCACCTTAATGTAAGAGTGCCACTGCTAAAAAGTGTATATCTAAATAAATAAATATTTCCTCGGTTCTCAGAGTCTATGTCGGGCCATATCACTGAAAACCTCGGCCATATATCCTCTAAATAAATAATTACGTTATATTGGAATTGGATCTAAAAACGCGGAAACCGACATAGTTTTCAAACCCATATATTATATAATATAAGTAGTCCTTTCTTCTAGATTATTGTATAAGACGTATTGAAATTTAATCACGTATTAGAGAAAGTTGTACAGGGACTTAACAACAAAAGCCAATACGATTTTAACTAGTTAACAAAGTTAAAGGCATACAATGTGCGGGGTGCGGTTTCTATTACAACATGTGAAATCTCAACTTCTTATATTTATTAGCATTTAAATATATAGGCCAGAGACAGCACCGGGGCAAACCTCATGTGCCCCACGGGATCCCATGGAAGGGGGCACTGCTTTTGTCATTTATTAATCAGTGGAGTACCTAGCGGAACGATAATGACGTTGTTCTCTGTGGGGTCTAATGGGGCACCGGGTTAATTGTTAACGAAGTTTCGAAAAATATAAATACTGTACTGTATATTTCCAGCCTAAAAATGGTTCCTTTGCAATTACCACTGATCCATGAAAAGAACCCGCATACTACTGGGGAACATTGTTCTACTTTTATACACTATTATGTCCTTTGTTTGCTTATTTGATGAAACCTGAGCATTTACCCCTCCCCATCATCGAAAAAAAGAGAAATAAGGCCATCATAACATGGGCATTACATAACAAAATGAGAATATAAACTACTGGTAGAAATCATCCACACAGGCATATCTTATTATTAATACGAGGGGTGATCCAAAAGTCTTGGACGCCCTGCTCTAATTTTGTTGGTTTTTGATTAAATTACTTTAAACTTTCCAATAATAAAGACCAACAACCTAACTATTTTGTGTGTTAATTTCATGGAGAAATTATATATTTGATGTAGTTTTCTAGATAGTTTTTAATAAAGGGACCCTGCCACCCGGAACGGTATACGCACATGACAACTTTCAGCCTTAAATGTTCCCGCCATTTCACTTGTTTCACAAGTCTTGACCACTATCTTTCTTTAAATTTTGAATGTTAAACCATGTAAGTTTACTTCCTTTATTATTAGGCAATCAATTGATTGTGTTTTAAATATCATGTCATATATGAATGGCTGTATTTGTCAAATTCTAAGAAAATGACCTCAGACAAGCAACCCTCATTCTGGTATCATTTTTGCTCCAAGATGGCTGCTGAAATGGAGAACATGAAAGAAATCAAAGTGGAACAAAGTATACTACAAGATATTCTCACTTTTATTGACCTTGAGCAGCTACCATATGCACGATATAGTCTAGATATGGCTCTGTGTGATTTTCTTCCTTTTCTGAAGTTGAAAGAAGGGTTGGAAGAAAATGTTTTTTACTCATTGGATGAGATTTAGAGTGACACTCCAGCAGCATTTGTATCGCATAAGCAATGGCGGTTTCATGAATGTCTTTCAATCATTGGTAAAGCGGTCTGAAAAATGTGTTCAAATTCATGGAAAATATGTTGAAAAGTAGGTCTTGATATGTGAAGATGATGATGGCAGATGACACTCAGATTGAAAATCGGAAATTCTCTCATATCATGACTGGTGTTAGGTTGTGCACCTGCACCTAAAGTATTTGACATATTGTGAAGTGATTTACTATATTCAAATACCGTTCCGGGTGGCCGCGACTCGGTATTAAAAACTATTTAGAAAAGTAGCTAAAGTATATTATTTTCTGTTGAAACTTATACATAAAGTTGTTAAGATGTTGATCTTAATTATCTGAAAGTTTCATGTAATTATATTAGCAAATAGCAAAGTTAGAGCGGGGCGTCCAAGACTTTTGGATCACCCCTCGTAAAGCTACTATTTCTTGAGACAATATGATGTATTGACAATCAAAAAACAAAAAAAAGATACGTACGTCGAATAATTTGTTGAAGTCTGCATTTTCGATGGATCCACTTCCATCTAGATCTGAAATAAAACACCATAGTATTAATTTATTATATATTTTAAATTAGGCTTAATATATAAACGAATCGAACACGTTTAACGTTGCCAACCCAGGGACCAACCTTTGACCCATGGGCGTAGCCAGGTATCAAACAGGCGAGGGAGCTACCACATGAAATATTCAATAACTATTTTTCTGACGTTTTCTCAATTTACTATGGATGTGAAGTCCAAATGTGGTAGTTATGTCACCCTTGCTACAATGCTCCTTCCCTGTAAATTGACATGAGCGACAAACAGTCTACATTATATACTACATATTCATGTATTGCATTGTAAATTTCATAATAATATTATGTAAATACAAAGTTGATATCAAAATAATACTGTAGTTTTACTCAAGAAGCT